CAAAGATATTTAGCAACCACCGTGTAACACCCTAGACCAACACTAGTAACAGTAGCCATATAAACCTCATGCAATCCACCATTGAAACCGGGAATTCATGCATGGAATAGATACACGTATTTAAGGTCCAGGCGTTACAGCCAAATACCTATTCTATACAGTCAGAACACAAATTGCTTTCCGAAATAGATACATTCTCTCGGACTGCAGAACAAAATTGAAAGGTATTGATACAAAATCATTTCGCCAAGATACGAACAGGCAACTTGAAAGTCTACACGAGAGTTATTTATTAGCAAACGTAAAGAATTAATGAGGAAGTGAGTTACGGTTACACGATGTAAACTATAGACAGGTGGGGGATTTGTATTCGTCGTTAAGGCCACAGCAAGTAATTTTTATGGATGACATCAGCGCACACATTAATTTTCGCCTGATTTCGGAAAAAAACACAAGAAATTTTGTTGCCTTCTGACAGTGGTCACCAAGCCCAAATGGGCAAAGATGTCTGTTGCCATGCAGGAAGGTGGATGGCAGAGAGGAGAGACGAGAAAAGGCTCTGATGTAATGTTTTGTTTCTTACTTTGATGCAGTGATGTGTGATGTTCGCTGTGTACATGTGATGTTCCCACTGAATTAAAACCATATATACGATGTTTGAGTAAAAATTTTGAAATGTTGGAACCTTGTTTTTTTCGCCAGCTCGCATTAGATTTGGAGTCTGCGAGGATGTCATCCATAAACTTTACTAACTGATAAATCATGATATACTTGAAGTTGACGCGGTGATGTTTTTCAGTCAAACCAGCAGCACTAGAACGACGTGCTTTGCACCACGTACGTACGTTGTTTTGAGTCCTACTCAATCTGCGTTTTACACAGTTATTAAAGCAAGAAGGTCTCTCCTAAAATCTTTATACAATCTACTCCACTCTATGTACCCGGCGGTTTTAATATACATTTTTTATATGAATCTTTATTGTATGTTCTTGCCCACATGGGCTATATGCACAAGAGGATATGCAGTATGCAAAACATGAGTATTTCGTACTGGAATGCTATATTCTAAGGCAAAGTGCTAGGAATCTATACATTAAAACAATACTATATACTACCTATCATAATTTGAACCCCGGGCGTCAACATGCCATCACTTTTCATTCAAACTAGCACAAGAGAACGTCGTGCTGTTTTGAGTCCTACTCAATCTACGTTTTACACAGTCATTAAAGCAAGAAGGTCTCTCCTAAAATCTTTATACAATCTACTCCACTCTGCACGCACCCGGCGGTTTTAATTTGTATACCCGGCGTCAACATGCCATCACTTTTTTATTCAAACCAGCACAAGAGAATGACTGCACAAGAGAACTACGTATGTTGTTTTGAGTCCTACTCAATCTGCGTTTTACACAGTCATTAAAGCAAGAAGGTCTCTCCTAAAATCTTTATACAATCTACTCCGCTCTACGCACTCTACGTTTTAATTTGTACCCGGCCGTCAGCATGCCTTCACTTTTCAGGTCGTCATTAACAGGGGCTCAGGGGTTTTACACGGTCGATGACTCATTTTACCCAAGGGTCATTTCGCGCAAGAAAGCAAGATGGCGGCGGCACATTGCAAGGTGCACCTTTTGCTAGCCTCCATAGCATGCCAAAAACTGGGGGGTTTGGGGGGCTTTGGGGTTTTTATGTGCTATTTTCTAATTGCATATAGGCAACATAGCCGGCCTGGATGAATTACCCCCGTTTTTTTTGTTAGAACTGGACTAATCAGAAAACAGCCGAAGATCACCATATCCCCAGTTCTATAAGCCTGATACGGAGACTAACCTTTGCAAGAATAACAGAAATGTTATAACTCTGTACATACAAAAAGAAAACAGGCGAAGTAGCTACACTGACCTGTTCGGTGTTTCAAGAAATAACGATATGGGATGAATATTTGAGGTATGTAGGTTTATTTGGAGGATTGCCTAATATTTTTTACGCCAATTAATCATTTATAAGTTCCGCGTTGCGCTGCTCAGCTAGCAAGTACCCGGAAACGTGTTTAAGTATCTGAAAAACATAAAAGTTTATGATGGTGTTTGAACAGCTAAAGGCTAACGCGCTACGTCAAATTAGTAAAATTCATATCGTGCGTAAATATCACGAGCGCTATTTCTCCCCTATTAAAACCATCGGTGCACGATCTCGTATATAAAAGCTCTGAAAATTAATCATATCATATTTGGTACATGTTGAGAGCACTTTAATTTATAGGGAATTGGTTTGAGATAAGAATGGGCAAGATTACTAGTACCCCCCCCCCCCGTGCTGTCACGGTGCCAAGTGCTTTCTTTAATTTCCTGCGCGATGTAATGTATCGTGTTGGAGTCGCGACCGAGGGCCAATCCACGCTTGCTGTGTCCCATGTAATTGTGTTGAGTACACTCTGGAAACAAGGTGGAGGGTAGCCTCCGTAGCATGCCAAAAACTGGGGGTTTCGGGGGTCTTCAGGGTCTTTGGGAGCTTTTATGTGCTATTTTCTAATTGTATATACTATAATACAACATAGCCGGCCTGGTTGAATTACCACCGTTTTTAGAACTGGGCTAATCAGAAAACAGCCGAAGACCACCAAACCCCCGGTTCTACAAGCCTGCTACGGAGGTTAGTGGAAGGTATGTGTGTGTGTGTGTGTGTGTGTGTGTGTGTGTGTGTGTGTGTGTGTGTGTGTGTGTGTGTGTGTGTGTCTGTGTGTGTGTTGTTTGCCAAGTCAGGTAGTCCCTTGTCCTGAGGGAGACACTAAGTATGCGGCGTAACGTCGTATGTTACAGTAGATATCTCTAACATATACATCATTGCATGGGCGGATATTTTTTCCTGAATTCTCTTAACTGAGGTATAAAGAATAAAAATAAAAAGGTGTGTACAGAATGCAAATGGCGGAAGCTGGCGGAAAGAGCAGACTTAAGAGGCCCTTAGGGACGAGCCAGCGCTCGCGCGGCTGTCGGTTGTCCATTGTATGGGGAGAATCGGTGGTAATTACTATAAAATGCAGCACAATGTGCCACGGCGGATTCATACGCTGTGACGGTATTTGCGTGCCCATACACGCGTCCCATGTACATACACACAGCCCTGACCGTGACCCTACCGAGCCCTGAGCTACCGTTCTGCTGTAGATTCGCCGTTTTATAAAATCGTTTCAGCGCACGTCGGCATTTTACTGGGTCTAATCTATCAGCGAGGGCGTGTCCGTGTGTAGCATCTCTAGGGAGGAGGGCGGTAGCCTCCACCAGACTCCTTTGCAGGCTGGATAGATAGTAGAAATCGGCCTAAAAAGGGGGATTTAATTCGCCAGAGGAGTTGGCCGGCCAGATAGCCTCCGTAGCAGGCTTATAGAACTGGTGGTCTTCGGCTGTTTTCTGATTAGCCCAGTTCTAAAACCGGGGTAATTCAACCAGGCCGGCTGTGTTGTCTATATGCAATCAGAAAATAGCACATAAAAGCTCCCAAAGACCATGAAGACCCCACAAACCCCCAGTTTTTGGCATGATATGGAGACTGCGGCTAGAGAGGGTCCATTTGCCGTGCAGGGTACTATTTATTCAGCCTGCAAAAGGAGTCTGGTGGAGACCAGAAGGGCGAGGAGAGATGGAGAGACGAGCGGAGGATGGACACAAGATGTACAGGGCGTGGAACCACAACTGTCTCGGTTTATTTACGGTAAAATTAACAACAGCTAGCGGTTTACGACTTCAGCTATGCTAGAGTCACCCCGGTCTTGCCATAGGCTCCACCAGACTCCTTTTGCAGGCTGAATAAATAGTAGAAATCGGCCTAAAAAGAATGTAGCTGTGCAGACAAATTTGATCCTCTCTGACCGGCCATTTCCCCTGGCCTGCTACATTCTTTTTAGGCCGATTTCTACTATTTATTCAGCCCACAAAAGGAGTCCGGTGGAGACTAGTCTTGCCAACCGATATCATCTGCGTTGCCGCAAATCCAGTAAAACAGAGAAATCCCCGTAAAACGTCTATTGGACACATATTGGACAATATGTACGGCGGTAAACGGAGCGTGTATGAAGAATTCAATTTTCACCGAACCTTTGGTCTTCTGTAATACCCAGCTTTCGGTAGAAGGGGGGGGGGGCTGCTGACAGTATGTAATGTACGTGTACATAGGGAACTAGTCTCTACCAGACTAACTACGCTGGTTATTTATATATAGGAGAATATTTTCCAGGGGAGTTTGGCCGCCTTGTAGGTTTGACTGGCCGCGGAGGGAAAGAAACTACCGGACTCCCTTGGCCAATTTTACTCTCTTTTTTGCCGAATTCTACGATCCGTATTCCCGTAGAAAGGCCTGGTGGAGGCTAATAGGGGATCCACGAAGGAGCAAAATGAGAGAGAAGCATACGGAATAGCGCGGAAGGCAGTGCGCTGTGTTGCTAGGCTTGTACATGTATGATGGCGGCCGGCCTGGCTCGTTACAGCGTAATGTTATGCCGGCTATGGCTGGCACGGACGCCCCATTACCTGTCACAATATGGAACCGGCTATAACGCAATGCGCTGGCTGTACATACAACTCATTACACCCACACATACACCGTTAATTAGCCCAATCACCGCGGACAACACACATGTACATCCATCACCATATATTCCTATATGCCAGAATAAGGCTGTACATATACCATGCATGCATGTATTATATGGGCGAACCGTCGCTATTTAATAATACACGCCTGTTTTCCCATTGCAGAGGGCGCTAGTTCGAAATTGCGGGGTAAAAAAATGCATCGCTGCGGACTAAGGCGTCAAATGCCACATATTGTACACACATCAAAAGTTGATACATATAACAATAGCATTTGATACTATTGTTGTGACAAAAACACACAAAGAGCGGAGACATGGAAACACACATTAAACATTTACGTCTATATATATAACACTACAGGTGTTGCATTACATACAACACGTAGGTTATAACAGTGAAAGGATATCCCCACTCTGTTATCCTCTTGCAGTACCTCCGGATGATGTTGTCCTCTCGGAGGATGAAGAGGGAGCGGTTGTCGGTGATGCAGTTCTTCTGTGCGGGAATGGGGTTGTAATAGGCCATGGTGCGGGCCCGTCGGGCCACCGTGTGCTTGTATTTCCGGCGTTCCTCCAGTTGCCGCCGCCTCTCCTCCGGATTCATGGCAGGGCCACCAGCCCCGGACGCCGAGAAGGAAGCCATCCTGGATAACAGAAACACGCAGAAGCTGAGAGAACGCACAGCTCAGCACCACGGCACTGCTCATAAATCCTAAAGGTTCCTGGTTCGAATCTCACGTACGTCGCATGGCTACCGGCGGGGCTAGGGAGACGGGGGGACCGAGGACGGTCATGCCGGGCCGGGCTTTAGGCCCATTTTTGGCTGAGAAAGGCTCTCACAATAAAGACGTCCATACGCAAGGCGGCCAGGAATACATTATTTATCCGTGCGGCACAGTAGCAGGTTGTTGTGTCCTTAACTAGCCAATCAGAGCGCGGAACGTACGAAGATGCGCCCCGCCGACCAATGAGGTGCCGCCCCCGTGGTGATGTCATCGACCGTCTCTTCAAACCCGCCTAATCTTTCAATTGAACATCACAAAACGATACATATCCACAAAAGCAACAATAGTCAATGTGTCCGTTTGATCAAACATTTTAGGCGAACGTATTGGTTCAGCCATATATAGTAAGCGAACTGTATAAACCAAATATTGCCCTTTTTTCTACCCGCTTAACAGTTCCAAGCATTGCATTACTACATTTTACACTTTCATTTTACCTGCAATGAATTGAATTTGACCATTTCAAGTCCATGTTTTAATTGACTTTTGAAATGATGGTATATTTTATGATTCACCATCTTTTTTCGTATGGTTTAATGTTAAAGTGTTTAACCATTTGAGCCTATGTAACAACCTGGGTCATTGCCCTTATATATGTGGACACTGCTGTTCGTGTGCTTTTGCTAATTATGTTTGGCGAAATCAACCGTAGATACGTAAATTCCGGGCGTACGCCGCAAGTAAGGTACGTGTTGTCTTTGCAAACACGGGGTCAATTTTACAGGCGCTTGTTCATGGCAAATTTGAACGCATTTACGTACACACACAGTCACTGGGCACGAAAAGAAGGGAGGAGGCTAGCCTCCGTAGCAGGCTTATAGAACTGGGGGTTTGGAGGTCTTCGGCTGTTTTCTGATTAGCCCAGTTCCAAAAAACAAGGGTAATTCAACCAGGCCGGCTATGTTGTCTATATGCAATCAGAAAATAGCACATAAAAGCTCCCAAAGACCCTGAAGACCCCCAGTTTTTGGCGTGCTATGGAGGCTAGGAGGAGGCGTGCATCTGAGAAAAGGCGATAGCGTGGCGTGCGGACACACCTTAACGGTCCTTGAGCACGAATGAAACGCTGTATCTACATGAATAATTTATCGTAGCCTCCCGGACAGAGTTATTTGTGAAATTAGAACCGAATAATGCTAGCTTCATTATGAAAATATGACATGGAATTAAGTATGAGCAACTTAATTGTTTGTGATAATCACACGACAACCGCTAATGTAAAAGCAGGCTAGTGTGTAATTCATGAAATTTTTTTTCAGGAAAAGCATATACGACATACACCGTACAAATTCAATAATAAAACTCCGACCTAACCGAATTGCCGGCGAATTAAACGTCGTGCTAATAATTTGTCTCTTCGCCCGCCTGTCAGGAAGATATCTTGATCGTTCCCGGGACCCAATTTGTGCGGAAAATACTGCTAAACAATATCGACATTTGCCCCACCATATGTCAGTAATGGTTTGACGTACTGCCTCATAAACCACCCAATTGCAACTAATGAACGGGTCATACCAACATTGTTCGACACGTACACGTACATTCTGACAGGGGCAGTGCATCAGTACACTGTACAGCGAACGACAAACGTAGGTCTCTGCAGAAATTAGAAAATATTAGCCTCTACCAGGCTTCGGGAGGCGGCTGGAAAGAGTAGAAATCGACCAAATAGAGAGATAACATGGCAAACTGTACTCTCTAGCGGACCAACTCCCCCGGCATGTTATCTCTCTATTTTGCCGATTTCTACTCTTTCCAACCGCCTCCCGAAGCCTGTTAGAGGCTAAGAAAATATTACAAAAAGGAAAACCGTTCCTCCTTCTGTCTCTCTACTTTCCACTTGTCCTCATTTTAATACAGCAACCCGAAAGCAAATGAAGCGCTCAGGAGTTAAGCACACACGGCATATGGCTCGTTGGAGAGATTTGTAGTCGGCGCATAATAGACGCCTTTTTGTGGTTCTAGCGTTTGTTCAAAGTGACGCGTGTGCGGCCGTAAATAAATCCTTTGCTACCTGACGGGGTCTCCCGGGGGAGTTCGGATCACCTTTTCACGGTGGAATGTCTATACGTATGTCCGCAAACCCCTCGCACGGAACGATGGTGTGAGAGCACGCGTCTGTTATGTTATGGTTTTGTTTGGATGGATGAAATGAATTCCGATGGGTTTACCAAGATGGCTATCTAGATCTATACAGAAATACGACCTCCTATATTACGACATACTCACACGATATCATCTTCTATACATTATATTATATATTCCGTTTTCTTTTACAAAAATTACACGGTAACTACCGTATTATTCTCTTGAATGTCACGGTAGTGTGGGCTCAAACTGTTGATATCAACTGCAGATATCAACTTCTATACATTATATTATATATTCTATATTCCTTTTTTTTGTACAAAAATTACACGGCAACTACCGTATTATTCTCTTGAATGTCACGGTAGTGTGGGCTCAAACTGTAACCCGTATCCTAGCTTCTTTGGCATTTGAGAACCAATTAGGAGGATTCAACGAATTCTTGGAAAAATATCTGCGGCGTTCCTGCTAAACCCGAGGCTTTGTAAGCATTAGTGTCGCCTGGCTTATCTACAGAGAGCAGAGGAGCAGTTTTATTTTCAAAATGGGTCCAAGATTTAGGCCGACTACCGCATGGGAATAAAAATCGATCGAGGGAGAAGCAACAAGATGGCAGCGACGCCTCCCATATGTTTCACGCCGCCCCCTAGCGGTAATATTGCCAATTACACGCACATTACGACGTCATTACATCCCTATTACACATTTTTCATGGATCGGTGAAACTGCGGCACTGTTCTGCGTTTTGTGGGACAACGCTGGTGAACAGAAGATACTGGATTTTTTTCATCGAGGAAAATGTATTATACTTTCAGTCAAAACTAATCTAGCATCAAAACAGCCGAGGGAAATAATAACGAATTTTTTTAGACGCCTCAGGGACAGAGCCTTCTTTATAGTGTTTAGGCCCGGTTTACTCCCTTGTGTTTACATATATTAACCATATAAAACAGATAATTTTAACAATGGAAAGAACCATTTTGTGTACATGTATATTGTTATAGACCGACTGTCATCATTTGACTGGAACGACATGGACTAAGAATATGCCTTATGATTTTAACTATTTGTTTTGGTTGATATGTTTTGTTTTATATGATTGATTACTTGTACTCTTTGTTTATATTATTTATTGTCTCTGCGTTTAATTATTTGATTAATTGTTAACTTTGTCACACAATGTACTTAATGTGATTTGCTTTAAAATTTATGTCTATAATTTCCTTTATAGCTTGCTTTGTTGGTCTACCTTTGAAATCAGTTGTCCTAAACTAAAGGTACTACCCAACCGTTTTAAGATCAATAAAAAGTATATCCGTAAATAATTTCATCAGGCTGGTAAACGACTGAATAGCAAAGTTCTTTCTATCACAACCATTTATTTTAAGTGCACTATGAACTATGTAACACCTTTAGTGCACTATGCACCAAGTAACATCTAGTGTCAGTGCACAGCAAACCGGTCAGAATTGCCCTGATGAAGATGACAGAAGGTCATTGAAACGTCGGCTTGAAAAATAAATGGTTGTGATAGAAAGAACTTTGCTATTCAATAAAAAGTGTAGATTGTAAACTTGATGGACAGCAGCAGACTTACTCGAGGTCCTTCTGCAGTGACGTGGTTGTTCGCGAGGCCTGTGACGCTATGGCCGTCTCCCTATGGCCTGACGTCAGCCCGTGCCGTCTGCCCATGCGCGGGGAACCCTCGTATTGGTACCCGACCTGCCCGCCGTCCAGCTGGTCCGGGACCTGAGGAAACAAACCGGAGGGATCGTTTTTTTGTTGTTGTTGAAAATGTCAGCAATTTTATTCTGATATATTGCAAATGTGCAATGATCCACCAGATACTATCTAACGTAATCATGACAAATAAGTGAAAAACTTGCTTGTAATGCTAGTAACATGCTCTGTTATCAACTGGTTGGAACATTGTTCTCTTTACATGCACAACTCTATCACATGACATTATTAACCAATACTGGTTCAGAATTGACAAAATCTTGTCTGCTGTTTTTGCATAAAATTCATGTCTACCCTGGCAAGACATGTATAGTGTAGTGTCACAACTTAACATGGAATGGAAGCGTCAAGGACTATACATCTTGATACAATACTCCAGTACAATATAAGCTTAAACAGGACATATTTTGCCTAGTACATGTATTTCCTCGTACCGAGTCACGTGTCTACAATCTGCAATGTTGCGTAATTCCTTGACAACGACTCGTGCCATGCAGTTCAAAAAGATACGTGACTCCAAAATTCTTTCAAAGCTATGATAAATTTTAGAGCTAAGTTTTATACAAATTTGTGGCAATTTTTTTTCTTCGTCGGACGAACTCACCGACAGCGCATTGGGATCATCGGATTGCATGATCTGCTCATGCGCAGAGTAGTCCCGCCGCATGGGCTGTTTCTTCTGCTCGACGTTGAACTTGATCAACCCAGAGGCGACATTCGCCAGGCTCCGGGACGCTGGGGAAACAGATAAACAAATAAATAAATAAACAAACAAACAAACAAACAAACAGTCAGACAGACAGACAGACAGACTTGATCAACCCAGAGGCGACATTCGCCAGGCTCCGGGACGCTGGAAAAAACACATCAACAAATAAACAAACAAAATTGATATACAGACATACACATATAATTGAGGATTAGGCAAATTGTACTTACCATGAAGGATAATCCCAATTATACCTCACACGAACTATTTGGGTATATCATTTACCTTATGCAGTATTTCCTATGCTTATCGCTAGGTGGCGCACGTGTACAAAGCTTTAATCGCAAAGCATCACGGGATATCATGACGTAATGACAATGTTCGCCGCCATTTGACGACGTGCGAGAAAGAGTCTGTGCTGTTCACCATGGGTGGGCATTTTCAGCTACTTGGAAGCTGAAGAACAGCAAGGGTGGGAAGATATACCCAAATAGTTCGTGTGAGGTATAATTGGGATTATCCTTCATGGTAAGTACAATTTGCCTAATCCTCAATTATACCTGCACACTCCCTATTTGGGTATATCATTTACCTTATACAGACTTCAGAGCCGTGGACAGCACAGCCTGGCCAAACGTGTGTTGGTTGTTGTCCCTCCTGTAGTACTTCAGGAAGGTAGACTCTCGTGACCAGTCCGCTGCATTCATGATGCTATGTAGAGACACCCCAGCAGCTGTAGCAGCTGAAGTGGATGCTCCTCGAGTGGAATGAGCTGAGAAAGTTGCTGTGTCAACACCTGCCGTGCCTAACACTGACTTAACCCACCTGGCCAGGGTCGCAGAACCAACTGGCCTGTGTGGTCTGCT